ATTGGAGTTTTATTTCAAAATTTGACTGTTCAAAATAAAAAGCACATCACTTTTTAAGGCTCTCTAAAGATATTCTAATCATTCTATTTACGTCTTTCCTTGGTCTTGTACAATTCTGATTGTATTTGTATGTCCTTCGTTAAATAAAAATTTATTTTTTCTCAAATTTATTTTTAACCCCACATTCACACAATTAAATATTTTGCACGTAAAATTGAAACTTTTTCTACTTTTTAAGCATATACTTTTCAAAAAATTAATATTCCATTATACATTTATCCCAAAAAAACTGTTTTGAACGGAAGAAAAACATTGACGTAATACAATCAGAATTGTTATAGCTTATCTTAAACAATTTTGATTGGATTATACTTGAATTATTATTCTGGGTCTGATACTGATAAGTTATGCCCCATTTGGTACCCATTTTTTTTAAAATACATTTTTCTTTCTCTTTTTTTCAACCTCATATTTTTATTAAAATAATATTACACGTAAATCAAAAATTTTTCTTTATTTTTCAACCACACATTTCTCATCAATTTACTATTCTAAAATGCATATTTATATGAAAATGGGTATCAAACACCCATCATTGATTGAACAACCACATTTTTATTTTATTAAACCACATTTTAATTACACTAAAAGTTTTTACCTTTGTTAATTATCGTAATTGTGTCCTCAAGTCATTTTCTTGTCACATTTTTATCCGCAGCCATCTATTAATTAGTATATCTTGTCAATGATGATGGTTTTTTCATCAAAAATTCTCTTAGGAGGGCGTAAAGAGACTCATTTTGCATATCATACTTTTAAATAGAAGAGGGCAGGCACGACCTCTTTCGATATGTTTGTAAAGAGAATTGGGCCGAATCAAATACCAACGAGTATTTTAAAAATGGAACAATCGGTTCCAACTCTAAGTATAGAACTATACCATTCAATTCCAACCCAATTTGATTTTTTGTGTTAAGTTCTCAAATTCACTAACTCATACAAATAAAATGCCTAATTTATACAAATTCTTAAGCTATAGTTATTTAATATCTAAATTCTTCCTATTCATTAAAACGATTTATATTTATACTAATGATTTAATGGATCCTTTTGTCTGATTGATCTGAAATTACATATATGAAACTTCATGGATAATTTTATCTGAGTTTATAAATAATATTCAATTTGATATACCGTGGTGAAATTAGAAAAAAGGACAAAGGTTGGTGCATTGCACCAGATATCTTTAAAAATAAAAAATAAAAAATAAAAAGTTCGGGTTAAATCGACTTTTTTTTTTATTTTTGGTACTATAGTCCAGGACACTAGATCGAAATCTACCAGACATTGATTTTAATATATTCATAATCGATTAGAAATTGAGTAGAATCGGATAGGGCCAAATGGTATCAGTGTGATTTTGATAACTTTTGTTCACCCTTATTTTTAATTATAAAAAAGGTACAATATTGTTGCTCTCTTCAAAATACACTAATAGAATATTTGGATATAAATCATGATTTCACATTATATGTACTAATTAATAGAAAACCAAATATGGGATGAAAAAAGCTAATACGATCACGACCAGAGGCGGATTTAGGAGGGGGCTGGGCTGGGATGTAGCCCCCCCTTCCAGGCCCAATAGTTTTTTTTTAAGGTATTTTTTTTGGATAAAAAATCAGTTTTTTATGTGTGAATTTTTTTTTTGGCATAGTAGCTCGGTCTTGAATTCAATCCTGGATCCACCCCTGATCACGACAATGATCAAATATAAAAACATTTATTATATATATATAACAAGTAGTGGTCTTAGACAAGACAATTGACAACATTTAGCTCAAGAAAACTCAACGTAGACCTTAGAATTATCTACTAATCATTCCACAAGACATTAATTTTATAAGGTAAAAATGCCAAATTACTAAGAACAGTATAGCAGCCGCCAGAACAATATGAACGATCGAGGAAAGTGTTCTTACAAAAAAAGTAGCTTAATGGTCAAAACATATGACGGCGGTATCATATCTATCTGCTAAACTAATACCAAAAAAAAAAAAAAAAAAATGTGGATAAATCAAATTCATCTCACTTAGACGCCTTAAGAATTCATTGATCAGTATAAGTAATTGAAAAATTAAAGATAGGGATTTAATTATTGGGATCCACATAAGAATTGATTTTGTCTAAGATGCAGACATCCAATGACAAAGACAGACAGATAAGTTGCAGTGATCATAGCACCTTCCGAGGTTGTGGTATTCTTAATCTGATGTTAACCATCTTGTCGGCTTGTCCATTTAAATATTTATCATAAGTCTAATACGTAATAATTTTTCATAAATGTTAACAAATCGATGAGCTAATTAAATTTAAGTTGTTAAAGACTGAACACGCTAAATTTTTCAATAGATTGAAATAAAAGTTTTTAAAATGTGAATTTAAAAAGTTGTGAGACTCATGAAAAATATGATTAATATTGATTATTTAATTTTGATTTAGATTAAAATCGAATTTTAATCCGAACTAAAGGTGCTATAGATTTTAACACAAGGTTGAGGTCATGAAACATTTCAAGAGAATAATGTGAAAATACGATATCAAAATTTTTAAATTTTTTTATTGTTTTCCTTTTAAAATTATGTATGAAAAATCAAACAAGATAGGTTGGCAAAATTTTTCTAATTTTTTTTCTTCTTTTTCCTCTTCTTCCTTTTTTTTCCTATCTCTCTTTTTTTCTTTCTTTTCTCTCTCTGTCTTGTTTCTCTTGTGCATGTTTTGTGTGTGTGTTTTGTGAATAATGGATTTGGATTGTTTTTGTATATCAATGGGATGGATTTGGAAGACTTTGATAAATGTCCACCGCCTGCCAATTTATTTTTAAAATTTTTTTTTGGTGACATCTTTGACTTTTCTTTTTAGTTTCTTTTTTTTAATTTTTTTATCAAGGTGTCCACCTTCGACGACTATTCTTTGGGTTTGTGATCCGATCCCTCTTCACACAAACCAGTTAAACCGCAGAATGTGCCTCTAACTGACTAGGATCCGAGCACCTCTCCAACTGAACTGCCAAAGTGTCTGGTGAGCCAATCCATGTTGCGCCTTGCCTTCCAAGACATTCCTGCCTTCCAGGATAAATCCTACCTTTCAATATGTGCCTTGCCTTCCAAAAGCCTCAAGAATCGAACCCACGACCTTTAATCTGCCAACTTTGAGAGAACCCGTCATTTGCCAGTGGAGAAGTGCCCCGGGGGGTTTTTTATTCATTCATTCATATTGATTCGTGATGCTTATTATTTAGTATTTATGTACAATTCAGGATGACTCGTGAAATTTATTATTTTCAATCATGTTGGCAAGCATAATCTTGGCTACATCGGCATTTGTTAAATATTTTTCCATGTTAAGTAAATGAGCAGTATGAGATTTTGAGTATTTTTATTGAATTCTTCAACCTTCTTGAATATAAATGAGAAGATAATCGAGTATAATATATATATTGATTCAATAAAAGATTAGAGTAAACAAAGCAATAAGAAATATCATATTAGTGAGTTAAGAAGGATAAGAATCCCGTGTTCGAATATGACAGGACCATATATTTCTTCTTCAAGCCAATATGGTCCAATGTCAAAACGTATGAAAATTGGAGGAAATAGAAAAATACAGCCGCCAAACCACTATATATTTATTTAAAAACCTTTTACATTAATTGATAAATGTCCACGTGAAATACATAATAAGTGGATGACACCATCATAACACAATGACGTGTCAGAAAAATACTTGTCGAAAAATAGTCCGACCGTTCCAAGATTTTTTTAAGGTATGATTATATTGTCACCATAATTTTTATTAAGTGTTGCTAACCATATAGAAAAATTTTCACATAATTGTTACAGTATTCTTCTTGGCGCTTGCTTTCATTTTTATTTGATACACCACATTTTAATTGAAGAAAGCTCCTCAATCTTTATTAATTTATTTTCTTAACCTTTTTTCCGTGAAATTTTTATTTTCAACATTCCATTAATTACATCTCCTTTTTAATGATTATTTATATTAAAATATTTTGTTTTTATGCTTTGAGATAAGGAAAAGTCTTTTTTTTTTTTGCACTTTTTATTTATTTTCTAAAATACGATAAAAATAAGTTATTTTATGTCATTTCAACGAGTTTTTGAATATATTATCAAATATAAAATGTGTTAACTAATGAAAAACTTGAGAATAAGAATAATATGAATACGGATATAAGTATTATAATGAACAAAAATTAATAATTTTAAGTGCAATTAAAATGTGGTGCAAGAAATAAAATTTGTTTTGTGAATATAAATATAACTTTCCTTTTTTAATTTTAATTTTATTTCAAATTACATTCTTGCCTTGACTAAAGTGATTTTTCCATTTGGTGTAAGACGTAATCTATAAGCTTGCATCCATGATGCAAATCAAGTCCAAGGCACAAATTATGTCGTCTATAGTAAATTTAGGCGAAGTTCGGAAATAGTATTCGATCAACAAAATTTATAAGCATATCTAGTCAATGACGAAACCATATAGTTTTTTGCTTGAAGGTCCAAATTTAAAATCACTTGTTAATTTCTCGTTCTTAATATGGGAGTTGTCAAATTCATCAAAATATAATAACTACGACTATTCAACTCAACGACGACTTGACAATCACAAACGTGTTTAGCCACCTTTCGTACATCTACAATCTGTTACGTTGTTTTTAAAAAAAATATTACAACTTATTTTTTGACTCTCATATGAAAAATGTATAGCACCATCATTGTCTTTAGAAAGTCTTTATTGGATGAGATTAAATAGCATCCAATGAAAAGAAAATTAAGATTTTTTCATGAATTGGAATTATTTTTTATTTAATATATTATTGGTAGTGAAATTACCATTGGCTTGTGTGGACAGAAGTTGGTAGGATTTGCTTTACTAATATTCAGCGCTCAACGAAACAACCCATTAATTTTCAGCCTAGCGGAGCCGACGGAAGCAGTGACATGTCTTCCACGTGGTGTCCCCTGATTAGTCTGTCGACATCAGCTACCACCCCCTCACGGCCCAATTTATATTTTGTGAATTTTCATATGGGATCAAGTGCAATGTCCCGCGTGCTATAAACTTTGTACATGCACCGCTTATATAAAGGAAGATTGAGGCTCCAAATTCTTCGTTTCAGAACTCAGACAACCTTTTCAATTTGGAAAGTTAGAGAAAATCAGAGAGAGTTTAAAGAGAAAAGGCTAATGAACGGTGGTGATCAACAGTTGAATTTACCGGCGGGGGTTCGGTTCCATCCGACGGATGAGGAGCTCGTGGTGCACTACCTCTGCCGTAAATGTGCCGGGCAGCCAATCGCCGTCCCAATTATAGCTGACCTCGATCTTTATAAATTTGACCCTTGGGATCTTCCTGGTAATTCTTTATTTCTAGTTATTTTTCTCATCAATTTCTGGGTTTCCTTTCAATTACGTTTTTCCAGGATTTGATGGAGTTTATGTGATTTCTGAATATTGTTATTTGTGAAACAGGTATGGCTTTGTATGGCGAAAAAGAGTGGTACTTCTTTTCTCCAAGAGACAGGAAGTATCCCAATGGTTCACGGCCGAACCGGGCAGCTCGGACGGGGTACTGGAAGGCCACCGGAGCTGATAAGCCAGTCGGGAAGCCAAAGCCACTGTGCATAAAGAAGGCTTTGGTGTTCTATGCAGGAAAAGCTCCCAGAGGACTCAAAACCAACTGGATTATGCATGAATATCGCCTAGCCAATGTTGATAGATCTGCCGGGAAGAAAAACAATTCTAGGGTGGGTACTAACTCTTTATTCTTCGATTTATTTAAATTGCACTTGATTGGCAATTTGGGATGCTGGATCACGTTCGTTTTATAGTTATTTGTACCATTGAATTCTGTCCAGTACTGCATATCAAACATACAATGCATTGATCTTCTTATGTCTTGTGCTATGTCAGCTTGATGATTGGGTGTTGTGCCGACTATACAACAAGAAAGGTACTCTTGAAAAGCATTGCATTAATGTTGATCAAAAGACATCGCAAAATTCCTATAGTAAAGAACAGAAGCCGAAACTGGATGGTTTCGTATATAATAGGACGGTAACACAAGGGCAGCCGGCCCTAGCACCGCGATTAGTCAAGGATGCCCACTTGCATTCTGAAGCGTCCGATTCAGTCCCTAAGTTACATACCAACTCGAGTAGCTCTGAGCATGCGTTATCTCTCGAGTTCATGGGTGATAAGAAGGTCCAAAGTGAACCGACGTGGAACGATTATCGGCTTAATTACAAGGATGGGTTCCAATATGATCCTTTCGTGTCTCAAATGCAGTACGATGATCAATATTCTTTGTTCGACAACGCGTTCATGTACATGCAGAAGCCCTTTTGATCAGGGGAACATTTCACCAGTTGTAGAATGTAATACTGTACATTCATTAGTTAGATAAAATGTTTGCTTAAGTAGATTGTACAGAACAATTTTAAGAATTATATTGCTTAGTTTTGTCCAGTATTACATACTAAATATTAGTTATATTTTCTAAAAAGAAAATTTATAAAAACAATTTAAGATAATAAAAATTCAATTATTGTATATAAAAACAAGGCATTCGTGGAAAATTCAAATGTTGTACAGACGAACGAGGCACTCATGGGGGTTTAAACAAAAAAATCACTCCCCAAAGAATAAAATAAAATAAGAATATCTTCCTATTATTATTAGTTTATAGCTAAAGCGCCTATTTGATAAAAATTAAAATTCAGATTTAATTTAAGTTAAAGTCAATAATTAATTTTAATCAGTTATTCCATGGGATCCATAACTTTTCAACCATACATTTTATCAACTTTAATCAAAATTTATTAAAAATCTAATTTTAATCACTATCAAATTAGGGCTAATAACAAAAGGATAACCCGCTCTTCTTGCAAATACTACTAAGACGAAAAAAAGGAAGTTTGGACGCTGCCGTCAGTGCAGCATATCTAATATTAGCACAATATACTATTCAATATTGTTTAGTTTTATAAAACAGATACACTTATGAATCCAGATGGCGAAGCTTGGCGACATTGAATTAACTGGCCTCTGATTGGTTGGCGAAGAATAAGGGTGAATATGATTTCATTTGATTTTGTTTAAAGAGAATTAAACTGAACCTTGGACCAATTGTTTTTTAATAATGTAACCAATTGATTTTTTTTATTTTTTTATTATTATTATTATTTTTTTTTTTAAGGACATGGAACCGAATCACTCCGTTCTAGTTTAGTTTGGTTTGGTTCTAATTTCATTACTGATTAAGGAAAACAAAAAAGAAAAAATATTTGAGGAAGAAAAACAAAAGGTTGTTGCTTCAATTTCAAAAATTCATGCAATGATGGTGGCTGAGAAAGGCAGCAAACGGTAGTTGTTGTCTGCATGTCAGAGTCGGTGTATAAATTGAGAATAAGAGAAAATGATAATTGAATTAGGATCTGGATCTCCAAAATAAATTAAGGTCTCCAATTTCCACATTAAGAAATGAGAAATCGAATGTACGTGACCCTTTTGTCCTTATTTTCAATTGAATTTTAAAATTTTTGGTGTGAATTGTGATTCACTGAAATTGAACCGAACTAGAACTTAACCGAATCAGAACCGAAACCAGAACCATTAATTTTTTTGTAGAACCATTCCGTTGGGTTTGGTTCAGTTCTGATTTGGTCTGATTGGTTTGATCATTTTGTCCACCCCAAGCGAAGATGACATGATTTTCTTGTGCTGCCTTGATTTCAATATACAATCTAGTGTACGAAGCACGAGGAGGAAAACGTCTACTAAGTAATAGAGTATTAGAAAGCAATGAGTAATTTTGCGAAGAGGTCTAAGGATTAGATTCACTGATCATTATAGTATGGGTGTTTAGATTGTGTAAAGCACGACGGTCACGATTGTTGATTTGTTATAACTTATAAGCCAACTCTACTATATGTGCTGAAAATAGTTGTCAGAATTAATACAAATGACACTTCACAGCAATCTATCGAATAATGACACAAAAAAAAGCAGACAGACGAGCAAATGTTGCTCTGGTGGAAATTATGGCAGCAATTCCTCTTATTGCTGCTTATTGGGTGTAAAATGTATTTTGAAGTAGTGATTTTTTGAATAATGCATGGTTAAACAAGTTGGAAAAGTTTTGGATTTACGTGTAATATTATTTTTTGGAGAACGTTGGTTAAAAGAGGAGAGAAAAAAATGCATTTTGGATAAATCATAAATACTGGTTTGTTGATCTTCGCTATCGTGTATGTAGGTATAGTTTTCACTTCTTTCATCACAGTATAGGTTGTTTTTGACGAGGTTATATAATTTTCAACAACCTGGTTCTCCATGATCCATCCTCACAAGAATGGTACGCGGGATAAATTTTTCCTCCCCTAATGGCATAAACTTAAACTTATAGAGAGGTCACTTATATTTATTTAATTTTTATCTATAAGATAGGACTTACGTCCAAGTCAAATTTATTTTTGATATACATGCACAACATTAATAAATATGGTGAGACTCAAACGTACGTGTTATGTCTTCTACTTGAATCTCTCCACGCGAGAAAACATGTTAAAGATAATATTTAAATGATCTGTCTAGAGAAAATGGAAATGGGTCCATTTTACTTCCTAGTAGTCACCTTGTGTTTAGTTTGTACAATTCTTGATAAATTAAATGGTTACAGTGGCTACACACAATGAGATTTCAAACTCACTGGAAAACATAATTCAGATACAACCATATACTGGAAGTTATTTCGAGTATTACATCGGAAGGATATATAATATAGGATTAACAAAATCAAATAGAATTTTCATTCATAGAAATAGGTCACATCTCTGTCTGAGCAAATAACACTTGCATAGTTTAACCATCATCCCAAAAGGAGAGCTTGTTATACGAATGTCATATTTTCTCTAAATACATTAATGCGAAGTTTTATTTTGCTAAACTGATGGATAAATCGGCTCTATAAAAGACTGGACATATGTGCATCGAGTTTTCTTAAAAAAAGAAAAGGAAAAAAAAGGGGGAAATGTGAAGGAATCATTTTGCATGATCACCGTGGGTTCTTGACGCCCATATTCCAAACACGAGAAACCAGAAGACGAACAAAACTGCCCAGTATCGAGCAGGTCCATACTTGATTCTGGTCAGCACAAACTGTACACGTATAGGAAAATTCATTAGCATAAAGATACAATAGAAAATGATTTCTCATAAAACTCAAGCAGACGACATCACCAAATTTCAAAACCTAAAGCCCAGCAACGTTATGAAATGGACATCTGATCCGGGCCAAGCTCTTAAAATGAAAGAATGAGTACTTCAGGACTCTATGACTAAAAATCGCCCAGATGTTTGTGGGGGGTTGGGGGAGAGGTGTTCAAAATATATTCACCTGTTTACAAATTGTGAGAACGTACAGGGTATGTAACAACAAATGAATCGAACATGTTGGATTTCTATTAGAATGCTAAATAATGGAATGACAACAAGACCTTAAACATTCATTATCTTTAAACTACCAAATTACCAAAACAGATGCACTACAAAGACTTCAAAACTTTCGGTACAAGCAAGAAACGAAAACACTTGACACCAAGGATACTCTAGTCGTTTCTCATGCAAATACCATTCAATCTTTTCTGCTACTCTAAATATTTTCAGTTTACCCTCAGTTTGTTCGCACAATGACGAATCAAATTAGATCATTGAATTTTTCCATACGTTTTCAATGATATATTATCTTCTTCAATCATTCGACATAAAGGAAAGCAAGAATAAATTATATTAACACTTAGTTTACTTGATTGGTACTTGATTGGGTTTACTTAGTTTACTTGATTGGGTTTTCAAAATAGCGGAAGGGAAATTGACTATCATACCATGAGAAATGTCAAGTGCAAAGTAACTACCATGTGCTCTACATATTTTACTAGTAACCAAAATAACATTAACGGGTTTCTGGAATCCTGAGTGTCCATTTTCTATTTAAGGATTTCCAAAAAGATGAACAGAAATAAAAGGGGGAAAATATGCAGGAAAAAGGAGCAAATCAGTTAAAGATAGAGCCACAACTTGCCAAAGAAGAATTAAAATCAGAAACTGAATCACAAAATATTTTACAAGTATCAGAAAAAAGGGTGTCGATTATTTCAAATACTCCACTGCACTATGCATCCCATCTTGAATAAATGTTCATGGTTTCTCCATCTCAGTAATCATTGTAAATTCTATATAATTGAGACGATCCAATGTAATTTTATCTTTTTAGACGAGAGTTTATGAAAATAAGTAATTTTGAACTTACAAAGCGAAAGGAAACTACAACTGTCAAAGCACATATTCCTCCAAGGAGAACGTGAAGACCATTTTTGGCAGTTTTCTGCAAAAGAAGAGAACGTGGTCAGCTAAATCACAGGTAGCAATAAATACACAAGGAAGTGAACTTGTAAAGCGGAATCTGCAACTCTTAATTACAAAAGGATGACAATTTCTTTCACCATTAGAGAATTAAGTAGTCTCCTTGGCAGTTGATATTGTTGATCAAACAGTATATATAAGCCTTTATCTTGCACTGATAAAACTCTAATGGGGCTTAATTAAATCAATTTAAAATAATTTGATATAGTAAAATGATTGCATATTAGATTAGATGTGGTAGCTTTCCCATTAATTTTGAGTCCTAAGTGGTATTCTCAAAAGTAAAATACTTCGTATTGCAAACTTGTACTCCGTAGAAAGTCTC